GTCTACAGAGTGAGTTCCAGGACAGCCAGGGCTACACAGAGAAACCCTGTCTCGAAAAACCAAAAAAAAAAAAAATTTAAAAGTCATCTTTTATATGAAATTGTGAAATATCAGACATCAGATATACATTCAAACAACATGAAGAGAGTAATTATAAGGCACAAAAGGGTACGGGATGAGGAAGCAGCTGCCATCTTGGCGTTTGGGGAAACAAAGACATCTCATAAAATCCAAGGAAAAGATGTGTGCAGGACAAGAAAAGGCAGACAGGACCCTGAGGCGAGCAAGGTCAGAGGAGCTGCATGAGGAAACTGCCAGCCTGGGAATCGAAGACAAAGGAGCTCAGCTTGGTATGACTAGAGTCGACCAGGCTTGGTGGGAACGGCCCATGGAGGCAAGAGGAAGGTCTGAGGTTGATGACTCTGAGCAGCTTCAGCTCTGGAGCCTCAGAGATCTTGTCATGAAGACGAGGCTGGGCAGCAAGGAGGGTGTCTGTATCTGCGTGTGAAGCCACACGGAGACAGGGAGCCCTGTGGAGGGGGACTTCCATACACACTGGAAAAGGGAACAGGGCACATGGGTCACATATGGGTAAAGGTTAGAGGCTGAGGCAGGAGGATTAACAAAAGTATGAAGCCTGCTTGTTCTGAATGCAGCAATTGCCAAATCAGCCTGGGCAGTATTTTTGGGGGGGGGGGGAAGTGTTTAGCCAATTCAGGAAGCCGTGTATTATTAGGGAAAGCAAGGAGACACAAGAGTCTCCTATTAACAAGGCTGCACAAGGAGGCGCCTGCAGAGACAAGACAGGACACCACACAGGTTTCCTCTGTCTACCTGTGCAAATAGATAGTCATGGGTCACTTCCAGAGTGGCAAGGTCCAGGAGCCACTATGTTCCAAACCAGCAGTTTCCACAGACAGGTTCCTTAAAAGTATGGGTTGTTTTAGTCTCCTTGTTTTAGTCTCCCTGTAGAGCATTGGCTGGCCTCGAACTCACTGAGACCCACCTGCCTCTGAGTGCTGGGAATAAAGGTGTTTGTTACCATAGCCAGCCTCACAAAGACTTTTAAATTTATCTGTGGAATGTATATATTACAGATTATTTTGAGATCCTTGTGAAACACTTTGATTAAAACTGATGATGTGGTGTGTTATGGTGTGGTGTGGTGTGGTATATGGTGTGGTATGGTGTGTGGTGTGGTGTGGTGTGGTATGGTGTGTGGTGTGGTGTGGTATATGGTGTGGTATGGTGTGTGGTGTGGTATGGTGTGTGGTATGGTGTGGTATGGCATAGTAGGCACTAATGGGCACAGGAAGGCGAAAGATCTAACTTGGCTCCTGGCCTCACTGTGTATCATTTATGGCAATTTTCGATTTATATGGTCTTAAGAAAAGTCTTATTAATTTAATGCTGTATTTGAAATTACAGTTGAGAAATAATAAAATGGTTTAGGTACATTTTAAAAATAAATACATTCACAAATGACATGTTTTTATAAGAGCCAACTCTGTATTTTCAAAAATAAAAGTAATTAGTAAGGGGAAAGAACAACATTAACTCATGTTTCTATAAATCTCTTGTATCTGGTTCATTAGGATTTATGTTTTCATATCTGCTTCTATATACCACCAGCTAGACATGTGGATTTGGATGGAGGCTGAGGAAAAATCCAGCCTCCCACAGATTGTTGAGCAGGGGAGGAACACTAAGAGCATCTGTAGATAAGTCTGGGTCCTTCCAAGAGCCCTCAGAATCCCACAGGTGCTAGCTTCTTTTATTTTTATTGTATTTACTTACTGTTTTTTGGTTGGGTTTTTGTTGTTGTCGGTGTGTGTGTGTGTGTGTGTGTGTGTAGCCCCTCACATCATAGATCAGGCTAGCCTTCGATTCAGGGATCTGCTTGCCTCTTGCCTGCTGAGTGCTGGGACTAAAGGTGTAAGTACCACTGCCCTGGGGCAGCAGCTTAAAGTTAGTTGCAAGATGGAATCTGAAATTGTAACTATCAGCTTTTCATATTGTTGCACTAAAAGTTGTCAGTCTTGGCCTTGCTCCTGCAATTATGTTTGTAACATTACATACTGGTAACTGAGGCCATTCCCCATAGACGGCACCATGCTCTAAGCATGTGCATATAAATCATATTTGATAGTATTATTATCATTCTGATAAGTAAGCCTGTTCCCATGGACAGAGTACCAAGTGAAGGAAAATTTCATTAGCTTTTAGTCTTGAATTTTGTCATGTGTACCAACTGGCAAATTGGTTTTTTGTTTGGTTGGTTGGTTGGTTGTTTTTTTTTTAATTTTGTTTTTTATGATAGGATCAGGTCTTAAGTCTTCAAGAAAATACAACAGCAGCTACTGGTTTTTGTTTTTTTTTCTATTTTTTCAAATAAAAAGTTATATTCTAAGCTAGACGTGTTAGCTCACACCAGTCTCTGTAAGGAGACTGAAGCAGGCAGGTCATGAGTTTCTAGATACTCTGCACTACATTGTGAAACCTTGTCTCTAATAAGTAAATAGCAGAATAAAACAAAAATAAGATAAAGATGTTCTGTGGAGAACCTGGTGGTCAGTTGAGCTTAAAACATGGTCACATGTATTTTTCCTTTGATAATGGTCCCTTGGCATGGGGAAGTATTGTGTGCATTATTTCCTATGTGAAAAGGATGAGTGCTCAAGGGTTGAGGCTTTTGTGAAGTTAATCAAAGACCTCAAGTGGAACTGGTGATCTTTTCTATTGTATGCTTGTGGTCCTGAGTGATTGGCTGGTTGCCTGGATGGTAGGGCCTGGCACCTTAGTGAGACCCCAATACTTTAACCCACCTATGCTTTGGTACTGTTATGGCAGAATGCAAATCATGTCTTACTCAAGATAGGTGTGACTGGAGTCCTCTTTTGAGGTCTTGGGAACTGAGACTGTGGATTGTGTTTTGAAAACAATGGTAAGAGCTTTACCCCTCTGTGGACATTTAGATTTGTAGATAGAAACAGAATATACTCTTCACTTTGTCTGCCCCATTCCTCTAAAAGATAAGCTCTGGATAGGAGAGATTTTTATCTGTTGTTCATTGCTGTATTCCTAAATCTTGTAGAGTACCTAGCACTGATTGTATGCAAACAGGTGAATACACTTCGCCTGGAGCAGCTTTCTGACTCCTGACAGGTCGAGTCCCCAGTGGGGTCGGGTCTTCACTCCCTGATGACTTGCATGTTCTTTGGGTCCTCAGCCAGTGCTGCCCCACACCGCCGTGTGCCTTGTGTGTGGCGAGGCAGGGAAGGAGGACACAGTGGAAGAGGAAGAAGGCAAGTTTAACCTCATGCTCATGGAGTGCTCCATCTGCAACGAGATCATCCACCCTGGATGCCTTAAGGTAGCATCCCCAGAGGCTCTGGGCACCCCATCCCCCATGCTTCAGGGTCTGATGGTTCTGGTGTGGCAGCTAGGGTCTGTCCTTAGAGACTGCTGCTCAAGTGGTAAGGATACATGGGTGGTATTGGTCAGTTCTAGGGCATTCTGTGTCAGGTGGTAAGTCCTGGGCAGGAAGAGTTTGAGTTCACTCTGAACACCTAGTACCTCAGAACTGTAGCAGGTTCCAAGCATCTCAGTAGACAGAAAACATGTACCTAACACCTGGCCTCTGTGAGAAAGGAGCCTGGGCCAAGGAGGGCGGGTCCTGAGCAATAGGTGGTTTTTCTCCTGTGCATCTTCGCCAAGAACCGGTTCCTGTGATATGCTAGGGCAGGAATGCCTTGTGGGTGACCTCTGTGCCTGCCTGGCTCAGGCAGCTGATTCCACCTTAGAAAGGAAGAACACATTCTGTGTTGGCACATGTCTCTGTCCCAGCATTCATACTTGTGGGCTGCAAGGGGTGAGGGCCTGCATTCCCTTGCCACGCCCACCTGAAGGGGATGCTATGCCATCCATGGCTTTTGAAGCCAACTTCTGGTAATTATTGCTTCATTATTTCTCTTGAGCTCAGCTAAGGTAAATAATACAACCACGTGGTGGGTCCTTCCTTTAGGCTAGGCACAAGATGGACACGGCTTTGGGGAGGGTGTGAATGCTGAGGTACACCAGGCTTTGAAGTGACCTCTGTCCTTGTGGACCCTCTGAGCTCCCTTCCTTGTCCACTGAGTCCTGTCCTGTCCTTGCAGATTAAGGAATCGGAGGGTGTGGTCAACGATGAGCTTCCTAACTGCTGGGAGTGTCCGAAGTGTAACCATGCCGGCAAGACCGGGAAAGTGAGTGCGGACTCCAAGTCCCTGCTTGGGTCGGGTTGGCAGAAAGGGATGGGCTGGGCCTTGCCAGGACCAGCCTGTCCCCAGTTGTCAGTCAGGTGGGGTACAGCGGGCTGGGAAAAGAAGAGCAAGTTCAAAGGTATACAGTTGGATTGTTGTTCTCTCTTTTTGGCCTACAAGCAAAAGCGTGGCCCTGGCTTTAAGTATGCCTCCAACCTGCCTGGCTCCTTGCTCAAGGAGCAGAAGATGAACCGGGACAACAAGGAAGGGCCAGAGCCTGCCAAGCGGAGAAGTGAGTGTGAAGAGGCTCCCCGTCGCAGGTCAGACGAGCACCCCAAGAAGGTGCCTGCAGACGGCATCCTCCGCCGAAAGTCTGATGATGTGCACCTGAGGAGGAAGCGGAAATATGAGAAGCCCCAAGAGCTGAGTGGACGGAAGCGAGTACGAACTGGGAAGGCCTGGGCAGCAAGCAGAAGGGTGGTGTGGCTGGTCTTAGTGTGGGGTGTGGGGTGGGGACCAGGGAATGGGTACAACTCGGGATCCTGGCCTCTTAAGAGCTGCCCTGAGCACCAAATCCTGAGAGCCTGGCCCAAAAGAAAGAGAAAAGCCAGCGAAGTCACTCCTCTTCCCACCCCCTTTAGGCCTCGACGCTTCAAACGTCCCCGGGTTCCTCCTCTCACCTCTCGCCGAGGCCCCCTCTAGGCAGCAGTCTCAGCCCTTGGTGGAGATCCAGTCTCACTTACTTCCAGCAGCAGGTGCTCCCACGCCCCGCCCTCCTGGGGCCCTGGGGACTTTCGAGTCCAGGCTGTCCTCCTCCCTGCTCCCCAGTACCCTTGTCCACTGCTGCTGGCCCCAGCAGCGGGCCTGTGGAGCTCTGAGGTGGAGAAGCCTCTCTTGGTTGGGGAAGCTGCAGCTGGGAAGATCTGGTAGGCCTGCTCTGCTATGGGCTTTGCCGTTAGTAGCCACAAGGTGGCGCCTGGAGAAGCTCCTGGCTTAGGCTTGGCTAGGGTTTTCTCCTGCCTGGTCTCCAGCTCTGGGCTCCCTCAGCCATGACACTGCTGTTAGTGGGTAACTGTCACGGGCAACTGCCATCTCTGGTCTATTTCAGGTGGGAGGTCAGCTGGGTGGGAACAATTGACCATATTCCATATTTCTGTCATTCTCTGGAAAAGCATCAGGCTCTTTGTTAGATATGAAAGACACGGCTTTATAGGAAGATGTCCTTCTAGTCCTTACTGAAGAGACTGGGCTTGTGGTGTGGTGGGCTGTAAAGGGGACCATTTTTCTCCAGTCCAGGAGCAAGTTCTGTATCCTTTCTTCCTATGACAGCTAAAACCTGGCAAAGAAGATAAGCTTTTCAGGAAAAAGGTACCATCTTCCCTTCCCTTGTGTACCTGCAGCCTACTTTAAGCTGTCAGAGCTGTAGGCAACACACCCGGTGGCCCAACTGTATCCCATGATAGGGTTGGGAAGTCTGGGGTGGGTGCCGCCCCAAACTGAATGGGTTAATTCCAGGCCACCCATCCTCACCTTTCCTCTCTCCTGCAGCGGAGATCCTGGAAGAACGCTGAGGATCGTCTGTCACTGGCCAACAAGCCCCTTCGGCGCTTCAAGCAGGAACCAGAGGACGATCTGCCTGAGGCGCCTCCTAAGACCCGGGAGAGTGATCAGTCACGTTCCAGCTCACCCACTGCTGGGCCCAGCACTGAGGGAGCTGAAGGCCCAGAGGAGAAGAAAAAGGTGAAGATGCGCCGGAAACGGCGGCTTCCTAACAAGGAGTTGAGCAAAGAGCTAAGCAAGGAGCTCAACCACGAGATCCAAAAGACAGAGAGTACCTTGGCCCACGAGAACCACCAGCCCATCAAGTCAGAGCCCGAGAGTGAGAACGAGGAGCCAAAGAGGCCCATAAGCCACTGCGAGCGCCCCCACCGGTTCAGCAAAGGGCTCAACGGCACTCCCCGGGAGCTGCGGCACTCACTGGGACCTGGCCTACGCAGCCCACCTCGTGTTATCTCCCGGCCCCCGCCCTCTGCATCCCCACCCAAGTGCATCCAGATGGAGCGTCACGTGATCCGGCCACCACCCATCAGCCCCCCACCTGACTCGCTGCCCCTGGATGATGGAGCAGCCCATGTCATGCATAGGGAGGTGTGGATGGCAGTCTTCAGCTACCTCAGCCACCAAGACCTATGTGTCTGCATGCGGGTCTGCAGGACCTGGAACCGCTGGTAAGGGCAGGCCTGTGTAGGAGGGTTTGAGTTCCAGGTCAGAATAGTCCATGGAAGCATATGTTGCTTGAATTGACATGGAGGCACCGATTTGCTTTTCTAGTATAGGACCATGTAGAATTCCTTGTCTAGACTTAGCTGAAGTTGACTAGGGGTTGTTAAGAGGCATATCCTATAGAAGGCGTAGTAAGGCCCAGGAGGCATTTTATGGAGAATTCTTGCTGGCATCTTCTCTATAAGCATGTGGCCATCAACAGAGGTGCCCAGATGTGGGCAGGGTGGATACTAAGTAAGTTACAGAGGTCTTAAAGGAACTTCCTCCTTGAAGATGGCAAGCAGGAAGAGTTGCTATAGCCAAGCAGTGGTTCCCCAGGTGAGACACTGCTGATGTTTCCTGTCTGGCCCAACTCCCAGGTGCTGCGATAAGCGGTTGTGGACCCGCATCGACCTGAACCACTGCAGGTCCATTACACCCCTGATGCTGAGTGGCATCATCCGGCGACAGCCTGTCTCCCTTGACCTCAGCTGGACCAATATCTCCAAGAAGCAGCTGAGTTGGCTCATCAACCGGTTGCCTGGTAAGCTTTTGGTAAAGGATCCCATATGTGCAGTAATGATGGCCTAGATTGTGTCACCTGACTCCTACCCTCTTCTCATCTCCTAGGGCTCCGAGACTTGGTGCTGTCAGGCTGCTCATGGATTGCTGTCTCAGCCCTCTGTAGCTCCAGTTGTCCATTGCTCCGGACCCTGGATGTCCAGTGGGTAGAAGGACTAAAGGATGCCCAGATGCGGGATCTCCTGTCTCCACCCACGGACAACAGGCCAGGTGAGTTGCCGGGTTGGGACTGTACCCTAAGGATCTGTCTCACGGGCATGAGATGACTGAGATACCCTGCTCGCTTTTGACCACTTACTACCCACCCTCCCACCCTAAAGTGTATGTGTCATCAGCTTTCTCTGGCCTTAGCCCTTTGCTAGAAGATATGGGACAGAATGTTCTTAGCTTGCTTTGGGTGTGAGGGTATGGTCCTAGGTCAGCTGCCTGGATGTCTCCCAATCCCCAGCCAAAGCTCAGATGGGTACATGTAGAAGGTGAGGTGACAACAGACAAGGACAGTGAGCCATTTCTGCACCAGCTGAACTATTATTTTTAGATGAAATTTAGGCTCTCTTATTTTCTGAGTTTTTCTTGATGGTAAAGGCAAATAATAGCTTGGACTTAGTACTGCTAGAATGAAGTGTAGTCTACCACAGCTTGAAGACAGATCTTCCAGCCATGTTTATGAATTCTGATTTCTCTAGAGAATCTAGAAATACAAATTCTGATGTGGAAGCTTCTAATGCCAAGACTCTGGCTTTGGCGTAGGGTACACTTTGTGACTATTGGCTTTTAGAGTAACAGGTCAACAACGGGGCTTTATTTACCTGTTCAGATTGATGGGTTGCCTCTCTCCTGTGTGTCCCAACAGGTCAGATGGACAATCGGAGCAAGCTCCGGAACGTTGTGGAACTGCGCCTGGCTGGCCTGGACATCACGGACGTCTCCCTGCGGCTCATCATTCGCCACATGCCCCTGCTCTCCAGGCTCCAGCTCAGCTACTGTAACCACGTCACCGACCAGTCCATCAACCTGCTCACCGCCGTCGGCACAACCACCCGAGACTCTCTGACAGAGATCAACCTATCAGGTGAGGTGGGCCCCATACCTGTGGGACATCTGGGCACTGGATGTTTATTAAGAACTACTGTCTGGTTATAGTGCTTTAAAATACAAGTACTGAGTGAGACCACCAACTCTAGAGGGGAAGTGCTATGAGAATCTAGGACATCTCCTGGGTGGAAAGAGACAAGAACATGCCCGCAGCCAGTGTGTGGGCAACAGCCGTGGATGGCCTGGAAGGCAGGGTCCACTGAATACAGGGCTGGACCATGTTTCTGCTTGTGTTGCCAGTTCTTGTGTGTGCCATTTATGACCCTCTATCAGGGAGCCCATTGTGAGAAATGAAGTCCCTGTAGAGTTCCAGTACTTATGTCGGTTGTCACATCTCTCAGAATCCTTATTCTCTTCGTTGTTCTTGGCTGGAATTGATCCTGAGGATTTGGAGCTTGGTTGCACATATAGCAAGGTAGACAGTGGCATGGTCACACTTCTGCAATCAAGTTAACAGTGTTTCTGATAGTCTAAGTTAGCCTGGATTGTAATTGTTATTTATGTGGAAAAAAATCAAAAGTAACTACAAGGGAGAAAGTTGTTTTTTATCAAGAAATTAAGGGATATCCTTACCTCACTAAAATTTCATTTGACACAACTGCATTCTGCTCCCGTTAGGGGCTCACATTGTCTGACTGTGTACCTCTCTTTACAGCCATATCCACACCAGCCACCAGGTGGGGTGGGAGGTTCAGACAATTTGTGTTTAGGGTGCTTAGGAGCTATTATTCCTCCTGACTGTAAAGATTTGGTAGCAGGAATCTCCCACTAACAGAGGCATAGAGCTATGCCGGCGTGAAATTCCATCACCATGTCTGATAGGCAGCATAATGTCTGCTCAGTGACCCAGCCGAGACTTGAAGAGTGATGGAGTTGCCAGCATCTGGTTCTAAACTCTTAATTATAGTAAATCTTCTCTCATGTTCTAGTTTTTATGGATGTGCAGTGCAGTTCAGGAGGCATGTGGGAGTGTGTGTATAAATCATCTATATTTTATTTCTCCACAGCATACTGAGACCATCTTTTCATCTCAGGACACACATACCTACCTACATTCTTTTTATTTATTTTTATTTTTTTAAAAAGCCAGTGGTTTCATAGCTCCAAGTACCCAGAAGATAGGAGGCAGTAATATATATATATATATATATATATATATATATATATATATATATATTTCAGTCCTCTGCTACACGGCAAGTTCAGGGCACATGAGAACTTTAAATCATAACATATATTAAGGTATGACTATTCTTTTTTTTGTTTTGTTTTTGGTTTTTCGAGACAGGGTTTCTCTGTGTAGCCCTGGCTGTCCTGGAACTCACTCTGTAGACCAGGCTGGCCTCACTCAGAAATCCACCTGCCTCTGCCTCCCAAGTGCTGGGATTAAAGGCGTGCGCCACCACTGCCTGGCGCATGACTCTATTCTTAATCTCTCCTTGTTTTGTACTTAGCTCCCATTAGTACAGCCGAATTAATGGTAAAGTGCCACATGATGGCTACATTCGTGTGGCTGAAGGAGCTGGCATCCAGTTGTTGCATTTCATCCTAGACATACAGATCAGGTGCTCGGACAGATGGGGTCTGGCCTTTTCCAGTCCTTACCGCTAGGCAACCTCTAGACTCCTTTATTGGGGTCCGCCTTCCATTAGTTAATAGTGGACATATGCTGCCATTTCCGTTCAGATGTGAGTGTACAATATAAGGATTTGTTACTTTTGCATTCTCTTGTTACTGACTCCACTCTTTCCATTTTCCCAGTGTTTAAAGTTGGTAATATTGAACTTACAGTCTTGGATACCTTGGTCACTAATTAAGCCAAATAATGTATTTGAGTACACTTCCTTTCCTGATGACTCCTGAGTTTTGCTAGTTAATAATTGCCCTTTTGGTTTGGTTTAGCTTCTGAAGCAAACTGTACAGCAAAACTGAATGTCCCTTTAAACACTTAATAGTCACACAGTTGTTTCTGCAGGACAACATCCCTGTCTCTGGCCTTTTCTTTCTATTCATTTTCTACTGTCTCTTAAGTTCTCATCTGAATTGGCTGCCATCATTGCACTGCAGCTATTTCAGGGGCCTCACCTGCCACCAGTCCTGTTCTTATTTTATTACCCTTTTTCCTTGATTCCATATTTTTCTTCTGGTTGTCTCTTGTTGGGTGGAGTATACAAACATTTTGTGTATTCAAATTTAGTTGATAGTTGACTATAAACCCATAGTTTGTGAGCCACATTGCTTCAGAAAATGTTTTCTCCCCTGGCTCCCAGAATTGGAAATGAAAGTCAATTTAGTGCTTTCTCCATTACTTTTCTCCTAGTTTTGTAGAAGTTGTTTTTGTCTCTAATTTTGTGTGTGAGGGAGGGAGTTGGGTCTCCTTTTACCAGAGGTGGTGAGTCACCAAATATAGGTACTGGGAATCAAACTCAGGGCCTGTGCGAGAGCAATACACACTTTATTTATTTATTTATTTATTAAGATTTATTTATTATTTCTGAATACACTGTAACTGTCTTCAGACACACCAGAAGAGGGCATCAGATCTTATTACGGATGGTTTTGAGCCACCGTGTGGTTGCTGGGATTTGAACTCAGGACCTCTGGAAGTGCAGTCAGTGCTCTTAACCACTGAGCCATCTCTCCAGCCCAGCAATACACACTCTTAATTGCTGAGCCTTTTCTCCACCTTTCTAGTCACTTAGTTATGTGTGTGATCTCTAAAGATTTTTCTCCTGTATTTGTATATGCAATGTGGTGGTAGTGGATCCAGTACATCCTTTTTCGTGTAGGCACCCAGTCCAGTCTTCCTAGCACCATTTGTTGAAGAGGCTGTCTTATTTCTTCACTGAAATGCATCCAATGCCCTTGTCAAAAGTCATTTGAGGGCTCACAAAATGGCACATACTGCCAAAGCCTTGTGACCACAAATTTGATCCTTTTCATATGATGGGAGGAGAGAGAGAGTTGACCTTCAAAAATGTCCTCTGATTTCCTCATGTGCATCACACACACAAATATATTTTAAAATGAATTAAACTAATTTTACTAGCTAGGTGTGGTGGGTCACACCTTTAATTTTAGCATTTGGGGGCAAAGGCAGGATTATTTCTCTGAGTTTAAGGCTACATGGTCTACTTAGTGAGTTCCAGAACAACCAGGGCTTTGTAGAGAGACCCTGTTTCCAGTAACAACAATAATAGTAGCAGTAGTAGTTGTTATTCTATATAAATTTCATTGCTGTTAACACCAGTTTTGAATGCAGTAATTGGGGTCTATTTACTAATGTCTCAGAATGGGCTTTTCTATTTTTTTTGCAAAACCACTGGAGATTGCTCATCTTTGACAGGAATATTTTATCTTCTAATCCATGAACTTAGAATGTTTTCCCATTTGTGTCTTTTGTGTTAGTAGTTTTGTTTTATTTTTTACCATTGTCGTTGTTGTTGTTTTTTTTGTTTTTCGAGACAGGGTTTCTCTGTATAGCCCTGGCTGTTCTGGAACTCACTCTGTAGACCAGGCTGGCCTCGAACTCAGAAATCCGCCTGCCTCTGCCTCCCGAGTGCTGGGATTAAAGGCGTGCGCCACCACCGCCCGGCTATTTTTTACCATTGTCAAGTCTCATTCCTTTGAATTTATTCTTTGGGTGCTATTGTGCATGGCTTATAATTTTTTCGTTGTTCTCATTTAGAAATGGAATTGTTTTTTCTAAGTTTGCCAGAATGTTTTAAGTAAAAGAGGGTTTTCATCTTATTGTTTTGAGAGAGTTAGACTCTTTAAATACTTCACTTTTTATAAAAACTGCACCATATTTTCTGGTAAACTTGTTATCTTTATTTTTTTAATGTTTAAAAACTATCTTCATCATTGGTAGGGTTTCTCTTCTAATCTCACATTTTGAGTATTTTTTTAAAAATACATTACATACATGTGTACTGTAGTATGTTTATCATGTATGTGGTTAGTGCCAGAAGTGTCAGATCCCCTGGAACTGCTAACCTAGGTCCACTTAGCCAGCTCGGCAATTCCCATTATTATATTGTGAACATTTTCAAACATACAATAGCAGCAAATAACTCAGGGGACATAACTTCTTGTCTTCGTCTTGTGTAATAATTAGAGATCTCATGTATAGATCCTATTTATATAACCACAGTAGTGCTATCACACGTAAATTAAACGAGCTAAAGAGGAAACAGTATTCTCAATGAGACTGAAGATGAGAAGACTAACAAAAAGATGCTTCTAAATAGAATTCCTCCCCCTTTCCAAGAGCCCCTTACTTATTCTTCCTAATTAGCCTCTACCCAAGATGTCTCCCCAAGATCTAAAGGTGAATTTTAAGTATAAATAGGATAGAAAATTTGCCAGTATTGGGGGCAGGGGAAAGCACTCAAAAAACTTTTTTTTTCTTTCATTTTTCAGTGTGACAGATGAGGCCTCACCCTATATTGACCAGTCCTTGTCCTGTTGTCAGTAACCCTTGATACAATGAAGCTCAGTGATAAAGCACTTGCTTATTACATAGCAGGGCCCTGGCTGGGTTCTGTCCTAAGACCACGGACACAAACACAATTTCAGAGTTAGTTACCTTTAACAGGCAAGAGAAGCCGATGATATTGGCTTCCAAGAAGTACTGTGTTCTTTATAGTCATTTATTTAGAAAATGCTTCCCATTTAGGGTTAGTGAACTTCATGATGTTATTTAGCTTGTACTCCATCTAATTTTCTTTGCTTACTGTGAACTCCAGCTTAAGACCAGAAGTTTGAATAAATTAAACATTTTTTCTTTTGATAAGAAGATTTTCTTGATAATAGTTGTACTTTGTCTCCTTGCTATGAAAAAACTTGTGACCGTCTCTAGGTGAGTTGACAGTCGTGGACGTGCTGACTACAGAGTGTCCCTACGACCTCAGGAGCCTTTCTAGGATGCACCCACACCCCTTCTGACCAGCCCTTTCCTTCTCACAGCTCCATCACCAGAGCTCTCACTCCTCAAGCCTCACTTCCATCACCAACCCTGGAGTTAAAAATAAAACATCCCCTGAAACAGTTGCTCACACGAAGACAGAAGAGCCTTACAGCTCCTGTCTCTTCCTTGGCACCTCTCACCCAAAGGACCTTGCTGTCCAGATGGCACACTGATTTGACTTGAGGCCATTAGGTATTCATGCTTATCTTGGCACTTACCTTTTCACACCAGTGCGACCAGTATTTCCAGATGGCTCCGTTTCCAAGTTGACTGTGGGGCAGGCAGCATTGGTCTCTTTGGTGAATCACTTTCAGCATTGTTCCCTGGCTCTTAGTTTAAACAACAATGAAATAAATAGCTTGCATCTGGGAAACAGGAGGGGAAGGACCACTCTCCTCACTCCTTCCACAGACAGGTGCTACCTGCTGATGGATGATCCCTATGACAGTCTTTAGCCAGCCAGCTTTGATTGAAGATAATTGAAGAGAAATCAATTATAAAAACAAAAACAAAACCTGTTCAAATGGGGCTTCACATGACATACTGAGGTTTTTTTTTTTTTTTTAAGCAAAAATATGGAAAAAATGTGTTTTTTATACTAGCAAAATCAATCCTCTGTAAGGTGAATCAGATACAGAGTTTTAAGTAATTGTGTGTGAGCATCATCACTTGCATCTCTAATTATTGCAATAAGATTTATAAAGCAGATTAACAGCCAGGTATTGTAGTGCCCATCTTTAATCCCAGCACTTGGGAGGCAGAGAGATTATATATAATTTTTTTTTTTTTTTTTTAGGTCAGCCTGGTCTACAAAGTGAGTTCCAGGCCAGCCAGGGCTATATAAAGACCCTTTCTCAAAAACTCCCGCAATATACTTGAAAGATTAGTGTTTGCTAGCATTCTCATAATTCTGCCCCCTTCAGTCTAACTGTCCCCCCCCACTGTCATTTATCAGTGGCTCAGACTCATCCTCTTGTGACTGCCTCTAAGGGCTTGTATTACCACCACCTTTGAGAGGCTGGGTTATCCTCACGTGGTCCATATTATGCATCCAAGACTTGGTGAGCACCTGTCTGGGTGTAGGGCTTTCGGTAGGCCTGTTTGCAGCACTGACAATGTACAGGTGATCAGTGCCTTCATTACTGTAACTTTGTTACTGCATGTTACCTGCTGGCCCTGATTTTTCGAAAGTGGTAATACAGAGAAGGTGGTTATATAATGATAACAATGATTTTCTCATTTATTTGATCCACCCAGAAGTCATTTAGCTTGCTTAGTTTCAGTTGGACTGATTAGCCAGTTGACTGGATTCAATTCTAAAGTAGTAGGAATTACACAATATCTATAGGATATGGTGAATTGTTTCTTTTGGACAAAGCCTTTCTTCAGTCTCTGTCTTTAGACTTCACTCTGATCTAGCCATATCCGCTAGAATTAATCTGAACACATAGTCAGATAAAAGGGATAATCTTAGGCAAACCCCTCAAAACATTGTGACTCTTTTTGTAAGTCAGAGGAGGTGTTTGTATGTGACTATACAGGAAGAGGCAGCCCTGTTGTAGTTTCTACCTGATAGAGGGTTCAGAAGAGGTGGGACTGGGGTTGGAGACAGTGTTCCAAACAGAACCTTATGTCTTCACACTCGATACACTTTTCAAGAATACGTTATTTAACTTTGCAATTTGGTAAGTGAAATTATCCCCATTTGGCAGACATCAAGGGCTGGACTATGCTAAAGACCTGTTTTCTCTATTACTGGACCCTTGAGTTTACATGGCCTCTGTGAGTTTATAGGGATTTTGTGTCTTCTGTACCTTACATGGTTTCTTCTTTCCTGCAGACTGCAATAAGGTCACTGACCAGTGCCTGTCCTTCTTCAAACGCTGTGGAAATATCTGTCATATTGACCTGAGGTACTGCAAGCAAGTCACCAAGGAAGGCTGTGAGCAGTTCATAGCTGAAATGTCTGTGAGTGTCCAATTTGGGCAAGTGGAAGAGAAACTCCTACAAAAACTAAGTTAGTTACAGGACAAATATGTAAATATGGAGGGTTGGGGGTAATACAGCCAGGGAAGGGGAAAGACTGCAAAAACAAGTGGGCCTATATTTCCCTTTGGAATTTGAAACAAGAGACTACAGGACACAGTTCTGTTTTGCAAGTCTTGCCAAGGGAGAAGCCGTTCAACCAGCCATTTGGGGATGAGTGAGCCAGATGTTTTCCTTTGCTCTTTCTGCATCGTAACTGCACTGCTTTCTGGACCATTTCTAAGGCGGCCTTTAGAAGACATTCCAATTGGAAAGGAGGATGAGCTTTGGAAAAATCTTTAGAAGCCTAAGCTTAGTGTTTTTATCAATAGTTTTTGTTTGGGGCACCTTGTTCCTTGCAATGCTGAGGCTTCTGGTGTCAACAAGGAGTGGACCACACACCATCTGCAGCCGTCGTGACACATTCTGTTTAGTTGGTTTTGTTACATCTTACATTATGCAGAACTATTTTTGTATAAATTGTTTAAAAATTATTTATGCAAGATTTGAATGCATACCAGTGTTTTTATTATTTAGATTGCCAACTGTCCTTCAGGTAGGGGAGTTAACCTGTACTTCGTCAACATAAAAAGCCCATCTCCAGATGTGCCCAGGTGTGACAGGGGGCTATGACCTTCCACTTAAAAAAAGCATGTTTAACTGGATGCTGAGAGCCTACTGTGTATGTCAAGAAGTTACACAAGCATGTTGTGGATATGTGTAAAGTATAGTCCAGGTAAACCACTTTGCCAAGTTTCAATAGAATTCACCTCTTCCTCAAAATTTTACAATACAGACGTCAGCCTTTACACTCAGGAGGGTTTTGCTCCAAGCATGAGCTCTTGTATTCTATTTACATAGATCTAATTTGTACCACGAATCAAGTAGAATAAATGTGCCCACACCCTTTCCTTTGTCCCCCTCCTCTCAAGTGTTCAGTTCTCACTTAAGTTGTGGTAAGCTGGCTATTTTCTAGTTGTCAAGTTCTGCATCCATGTGTGCCATTGTTGTTTGATGGTGTTTCCTAACCTTTCCTTGATGCAGTTTTACCTTTGTTGGATTTATATAAACAGTTGCACAAAAAAAAAAAAAAAAAAAAAAAAAACAACCCTCTTTGTGTGTGAGAGTTTCTGTTTTATGAGGGTTAAAATGTAATTGGAATGTCCAGGGTAAATGCACTTTCTGTCTTCTGAGAAATGCAGCAGCCCCAAGACACATGATTTTTCTTTTTCCCCCTCTCCTACAGAAAGAGGTTTCTAACTAATAAAGGTAATGGGGAAAAACAAGACTACAGTGAGGGCCACCTGTGGCTGGCTCTTAGGGGCGATGGCTCACCTGTTGTCTGTGCATCTAGTACACCTGTACAAAGGCAGTTTCTATGCGTCGCCACGGTCTGTCTTACTCTGATACTGCTGTGATAAAATACCAAGGCAATTTATAAAATAAAGTTTAATTGAGCTCACTGTTAGAATTTATGAAGGTGGAGTCAGGGCGTAGAGGAGAGATGTCGACAGCTATAGCAGCAGCTGAGAGCGAGCTTGTGTATCTTGACATCCCCAAGCAGGCGGCAGAGAGAGGCACACTGGGAATGGCCAGGACTTTTGTCCGTCTTCAGTGTCTCACCTCCTACAACATTATCACACCTCATCCCTCCTCAACGGTCCCACCTACTAGGGACTAGGTGTTCAAACATGAGCCTGCAGGAGCCATCTCACACAGGGCTACATGGCATTGCACTCTCCTCAAAGTTTTAAGTCCAAAAACCTTTTCTCACTCAAATTCTAGGGACAGTGGCTTCTGTGTTTAACTCTGAGGAGTAACTAAGCAGAATTACAACTCGTCAACACACTTGTTTATGTGTAAAAATGATCTGAAGGTTTGTTGCATAGATGCAAAGGCCATTTTTGTGAACCTCCAAATAAGACAGCTGCACCCTGATACTTAGAAAAGCCATCTTCTCCCCTTAGAACTGCCTTCAGGCCAATTTTTCTCCAGACTAGTATAGGTCACAGTTAACATCTCTCAAAGAGTACTGAACCACCAAAACCTATAATCTCTGTAGATTTATATTTATATATGTGATGTGTATGGACCTTGGCTCACATGTGGAAGTCCGAGGACTACTCTCCTTTCACGAGGATCATGGCAAGTGCCTTTACCTACAAAGCCATCTCAACAGCTTCAGATGAAGCTAGCCTAAACCACAAGTTAGAAACTGGTGCTCCAAGGTAAAGCACCACAGCTGGTAGTTATGGTCAACCTAGAGCTTCCAAACAAAAGTGAGGCTCCAGTGCATTGAGGGAACCTGATGTCTGCTCAAATTCTATTCTTCAGACTTCATTCGGTTCTGCTGTGAACCTTCAGACATACTGCCCATTGTGGCATATGGACAAAACAGTTATGGCATGCGAGTTAAAATATGCAGCTTGCAGTATTTACCATGGACTGGCTCCAAGAGCCCCTGCCCCAAAATCCACGCATGCTTAAGTCACATATACGGTATAGTATTTGCAGATAGCATATACATAATTCTGTGTTTTTCGTATCATATCCAGATGACTTATAATACCCCATATAATGTAAAGTAAGGTGACTTGACAATTGTTCTCAACTCAAGAGAAAGCAAACCCTAACTAAAGCTATCCCTTCTGCATAAGCTATTGATCTGAAGTTTGCTGTGTGCACTGAAAGGGCTCAAAAAGAAAACCTCGGGAAGTCTGTTGTCTATCTCCTCCACCATCCGAGTGCTGTGATGTGCATGGGCCTACTAAAAACTGTATAATCTCTATCAGCTATATACCCTTAGTCCAATACATAAATATATAGCTACTTATATATTAGAGAAAGAACAAGTTACTTGTTAGCTAAGAGTCTCCATCCAAGTGAGACAGTATCTATTTTAGAATGACAGGGTCTGGTAGAGAAAACCATAAAGCACCTAGCCACACCTGTCACAGTCAACAACTATGGGGAGCAGCAAAGATGGTCTTTGAAGGTGTTCACATCTCTTCTGAAGAGAGGTGCTCGACCAGGAACTTGATGCCTGTTCATGCTGTATGCAAGTAAGTTTGAAATATAGGCAAACAATATTAAACTACAGCAGCCTTTTAATTTTATTTTATTCCTAAAGTTGAAATGTACTAGTAGGTAGCACTAAAAATACACCTTCACTATACAAAACATTGTAAATCGATTACATGTTAATAAAGAATTTAGCACACATACACTTCTAAGATAAGAAGCTAGATGCAGCCCTTGCTATTAAAAGCTGTACCCAAACAAAAATGGACATATTTAGTCTAAGGCCCTGGCAGTTGACTATAGAATCTCAATTGTCTCTCAATTAATTATGTTTAAATGCAGAAATAGCAACAATGTTGAAACTTACATTCATTAAATGTTAGCATTTAAAATATACATGGCTAATCAAGTGAACATTAGGAGCAGCTATGGCTCAGGATAGTCCACACTAGCCCAGTCACGAACAGTGAGTTCACTTCAAAGTGAACAAACAACAGGATAAAGGTAAAGTAAGAGACAGGCGAGTGGCCTCCACACCCACACTGAACAGTCTGGCTTCAACTAGTGCTCAGGGGAGACAAGGGATAAAACCCAGCAGAACCTGGGAAAGCCATGTGGCCACAAGTGTCCACACTGGCAAGGTTTCTTTAACTTAGGATGAACTTTCTGTCCCCAGTTAGTAATGAAAATAATTTTTAAAAATAGTTTCTGCCTTAGAACAATAAGTTTTCAGTCCCTTTAGTGCACTGAAATGTTTGTGGTAAAGTCATGTAAGTGTCCCACTGCAGAGACCTCAATTTCAGGACTTAAAAACATGCACAGCTCGAACCACATACTGCCTGCAGATGGGACACTCACTCATGCGCTTGCCACACTTGGTGCAGGTGACCATGTGCCCACACTCCAGCAGGACACAGTCAATGACTGCATCCATGCAGATTCGGCACAGGCTGTCATCTTCCTCATCCTGAAGTTGCATCCGCTCACCATCTGAAAGGAAATAAAGCTGAGTTAAGACCTAAGCCATCTTCTGAGCCTACCACAGGCCCAGGGCCACTCCAGTGCTATAGAAAGAGTAGTCTACACGGCTACTAGTTCAGGGTTCTGTGAAGAAATATGTGACTTGGGACCAGCTAAAAACAGTATTCAATAAATGCTGGCTACTTATTGCTGTTTTATGTCATGATGTAATAGAAGGAGTTTGTGATGCGGATATATTTATTCTGTATTTAGAAAGAAGAGACAGGGCTGGTGAGATGGCTCAGTGGTTAAGAGCACTGACTGTTCTTCCAGAGGTCATGAGTTCAAATCCCAGCAACCACATGGTGGCTCACAACCATCTGCAATGAGATCTGATGCCCTCTTGTGGGGTGTCTGAAGACAGCTACAGTGTACTTATAATAAATAAATAAATAAATTAATTAAAAAAAAAAAAAAAGAAAGAAGAGACAGTGGCTGGGGGTGTAGCTCAACTGGTACAGTACCCATCTAGCTGTGTGTCTTGGGTTTGATTCTCAGCACTGCATAACCAAGCATAATAATATGCGCCTATAATCCTGGCACTTGGGAAGGTAGAGGCAAGACAATCACAAGTTCAAGGTAATCTTCAACTACAGAGTGAATTTGAGGCTTGGGCACAGGAGACTTTCCTCATGGGCCACTCACTAGTCAGGCCATGAGTGGACATTTAGCTCAGTTGTTTTGGATGTTTGGCCATAAAGATACAAGTCTCATCTCATTAAGAGAGACTTTATTCCACTCAAAAGAAGCTTTTGAATAACCACACATTAGGAAGCAAAAGGTCCCTTGCAACTTGAGAAACATCAAATGTCATGTTTCTGTTGGATGGGCTGGGGCTTTCCTGGCTCTGTAGCCGAAAAATCTCAGACACTGAAAAAGTTGAATTTAAAAAATTAACCTTGGCTGAGGCTTTAAAGCTAAGGACAGGGAGCAGTGGGATCACATGGGTTCAACAAAGCAAGAATTCCAGAGCCAGAAGCCTTTGTTTTTAAGAAAAACATTTTGCTGGGTATGACAGTGCACAGCTTTTATCCCAGCACTAGAGAGACAGAGGCAGGTGGATTTCTTAAGTTTGAGGCCAGCCTGGTCTACAGAGTGAGTTCCAAGACAGCCAGGGCTACACAGAAAAACCCTATCTTGAAAAAAGAAAGAAAAAGGAAAATATTTCATTGCCTACCATGTCGATAGTTTTGTTCCCTAGGGTCTTACTATCCACTTTGCAGACAAAAGATCTATGGACTGAGACAGCAGATAAGCAGATGAAGAGACTAGAGGAAGGTCAGTTTTAAATCTTGGCCTTGGTCTATGCAGATGATTCTTTCCACCTCTTTAAACTGTGTAACCTAGTGGAGCCATCCAAGTCAATATTAACATTTAAGTGACAGTCAAGACAGAAAATTCTACCTGTGCTCAAAACAAAATGTATTCACCAAGCCAGGGACTGAACTAGTGTTGAACTGGGCACAAGTCAGCTGAGAAAGACACTTGGGAACCATGTGTTTAATGGCCTCCATCAAAGACTGATGTCCACATTCCACCGTACTAGATACACAGCATTACACGTATATAAACTCTCCCCAGCCAGCAGCCTCAGGTCTAAGGTCTGGGGACTATTCCTGGGCTTGCTACACTAACACTATCCTACAAGTAGGTTTGTAAAACTACTTTCCATCATTAAATGGTTCACAGCATATGGATGATATCAATTTCGTCTCTTGAGAGACAGTATCTCACAAGCTTATAGAGTATTACAGGGACCTGGCTTCTGCAGGCAGCATACATAAAATAAGTTATAGTCAAGGGATTAATGAAAAAAAAAAATCAGCATTGTTACAGGCAAAGAGCCTGTAAGAAAAATTAGACTCAGAAATTGTCTAGCTCACCTGACACTGGTTGCCTCAAAGCCCATGTCATGTAATGAACTATTTAGCAGCTCTATAAATAGGCTTATATAACTAACTCAGTCACTAAACAAGTATATTGCTTTTCTTTTGTTTTTTTGTTTGTTTTTGTTTTTCGAGACAGGGTTTCTCTGTG